TTTTTTTTTTTTTTTTTTTTTTTTTTTTTTTTTTTTTTTTTTTTTTTTTTTTTTTTTTTTTTTAGGGGGCTAAGCAGCGTGTGTTTGAATCTACTGAGCGAGCGACGGCTAACCTAAACCAACTCAAACACTCCGTTGACTCTCTCCAGGTACCCTAAACCCTAAACCCTAAACCCTAGTAAACCCTAAACCCTAAACCCTAGTAAACACTAAACACTTATAAAGGCTAAACATCAGTAAACCCTAGTAAACCTTGGACCAGCTCAAACACTCCGTTGACTCTCTTCAGGTACCACAAACCCTAAACCCTAAACCCTAAACCCTAGTAAACCCTAAACCCTAGTAAACCCTAAACCCTAAACGCCGGTAAAGCCTAGACACTAGCAAACCCTAGTAAACTCTAAATATAATTGAGACGCTCCGTTGACTCCCTTCAGGTACCACAAACCCTAAACCCTAAACCCTACTAAACCCTAAACCCTATTAAACCCTAAACCCTACTAAACCCTAAACCCTAAACCCTACTAAACCCTAAATATACTTGAGAGGCTCCATCGACCGCCTGCAAGTCCACCAAACCCTAAACCCTAAACCCTAAACCCTACTAAACCCTAAACCCTCATCTTCAATAAGGGGGTGTCTGTACACCGTAAAACGGGTTGTGGGGGTTTTGTGATTGCAGCAACAAATGGAAGGCCTGGCAGCAAAACAGGTGAGGAAATAACAGCAGCAGCAGCAGCAGTAGCAGCAGCAGCAGCAGCAGTAGCAGCAGCAGCAGCAGCAGTAGCAGCAGCAGCAGCAGCAGCAGTAGCAGCAGTAGCAGGAGGACTAGCAGCAGCAGCAATAGTAGCAGCAGCGGTAGAAGCAGCAGTAACAGCAGTAGCAGCAGTAACAGCAGCAGTAGCAGCAGTAGCAGCAGCAGCAGCAGCAACAGCAGCAGCAGCAGCAGTAGCAGCAGCAGCAGCAGCAACAGCAGCAGCAGTAGACGAGGTTTTGTAGCTACAGCAGCTGAATATTAAACAATAAATAACAGCAGCAACAAACAAACAAAAAAATAAAAAATAAAATAAACAAACAAACGAAGAACAGAGACAGATATATAAATAAATAAATAATGTGATTGCTTTTTTTCTTTTTTTTCTTTTCCTTCTTTTTTTTTTGTTTACTTATTTTAAATATATAAACATATATAAATATATAAATATATAAAAGCAAATATATAAATATACAAATATATATATTTGGGGTGTATGTATGCTTCAGCACCGGATGAAGGCTGCGTTGGAGCAGCTAAAGAGCAGCAGCAGCAGCAGCAGCAGCAGCAGCAGCAGCAGCAGCAGCAGCAGCAGGTTCTCTCGGTGGCCCCTTGAGGTGTATCCGCACCTCTCCTCACGTCTCCCTGCTTCTGCTGGCGGCAGCAAACTTGTAACTCCTAGATCACCGAAAAAGCTGCAGCAGCAGCAGCAGCAGCAGCTGCTGCTGCAGCAGCAGCTGCAGCAGCAGCTGCAGCAGCAGAAGCTGCAGCAGCAACAAGAACAAATGACACACAAACAAATTACCTCTGCTGCCAATGAACCACAACAACAATCAACAACAGCTCCAACAACAGCAGCAGCAACACCAACAGCAACAGCAGCAACAGCAGCAGCAGCAGCAGCAGCAGCAGCAGCACTGAGCGCTACTGGAGGTGCAAAGACACCCCAGCAGCTCCCGAGCAACACTCCGTTCTACCAGCAGCAGCAGCAGCAGCAGCAGCAGCAACAGCAGCAGGAGCAGCAGCAGCAGCAGCAGGAGTTAAATGCTGCAGCAGCAGCAGCAGCAGCAGCAGCAGCACACCACTCTGCTCGCACCCCCAGCAGCCCCCCCACCTTCTCCCGCCCAACCCTCCAGGGCCCCCACAGCCGCACGCTGGCTGCGAGGAGACACAGCAGCGTGGGTGCCCCGCAGCAGCAGCAGCAGCAGCAGCAGCAGCAGCAGCAGCAGCAACCGCAGCAGCAGCAACAGCAGCAGCAGCAGCAGCAGATGCATCAGCAGCAGCAGCAGCAGATGGATCTCTCACAAAAACGAAGAGTCAACTCCACCCACCATATGACGCAGTTAAAGCAGCAGCAGCTGCTGCAGCAGAGCCAGCAGCAGCAGCAGCAGCAGCAGCAGCAGCAGCAAGAGTTGCTGCGAGGTTATGTTGAAAGCAGTAAGCTGATTCTTCTGTCTTTGTTGCTCTCTCCATCTCTTCTTCTGTTTGCTGCTGCAGCAACATCATTCCGTCTGCTGCTGCTGCTGCTGCTGCTGCTCCTGCTGCTGCTGCTGCTGTTGCTGCTGCTGCTGCTGCTGCATGCATGCACTCTTGTGTGTCTCCTTTATGTTCCTCAGGCGGAGCGCAGCAGGGGCCCCCCCAGATGTCTGCTAGGGGGGCCCCCCCCCAGTGGGGGCCCACCTCTCAGGGGCCCCCGCTGCAGCAGCAGCAGCAGCAGCAGCAGCAGCTGCAGCAGCAGGGGCCCCCTTCGTTTCCGCCTTCTGCTTTGCGTTCCTCCCGCAGCAGCAGTAACAGCAGCAGCAGCAGCAGCAGCAGCAGCAGCACGACCGCCCGGGTATCCTTCAGGAGCCCCCCCAGCAGCACCCCAAGAAAGGCAATGAACGGCCAGAAGAAACAAACAGCAGCAGCAGCAGCAGCAGCAGCAGCAAGTGCAGCAGCAGCAGCAGCAGCAGAGGAGACAGAAACAAAGCCTAAAGATAGATACATGGACGGGACCGCAGAAAGAGACAGAGAAGCAGCAGCAGCAGCAGCAGCAGCAGCAGCAGCAGCAGACAAAGACAACGAAGAAAAAGAAGAAAAAGAAAAAGAAAAAGAAGAAAGGAGACAGGAGACATCAATGCTGCAGGATTTTATATATTCTTTCGCAGGTAGAGCCTTTAAGGGGGGAGAGGAAAGAGAAGCAAATAAAATAAACAGCAGCAGCAGCAGCAGCAGCAGCAGCAGCAGCAGCAACACAGACGGCCCCATGCGTTCGTTTTCTCTCTTTCTACATTCTGCTGCTGCCACTGCTGCCGCTGCTGCAGCAGCAGCAGCAACCAACAGCAGCAGCAGCAGCAGCAGCAGCAATGGTGGTAGTAATCTCCCACAGCCAGCAGATATACACACACTTCCTGCTGTTTATAGCTGGCAGCAGGAGCTGCAGCAGCAGCAGCAGCTGCTGCAGCAGCAACTGCAGCAGCAGCAGCAGCAGCAGCAGCAACTGCAGCAGCAGCAGGGGGCTGGTGTAATAGCAGCAGATTTGAAGGGGCCCTGGAGAGATGCTGGGGACCCAGAAGGAGCCTTCAGCAGCAGCAGCAGCAGCAGCTGCAGCAGCAGCTGCAGCAGCAGCAGCAGCAGCAGCAGCACACGCACGGACAGCAGCAGCGGAGCCCTCAGCGGGGACCATACCCCTTATAGCTCCCACACAACAGCAGCAGCAGCAGCAGCAGCAGCAGCTGCTGCTGCTGCTGCTGCAGCAGACACTCAAGGACCGCTCTTCTGGAGCAGCAACAGATACATGAATGCAGCAGCAGCTGCAGCAGCAGCAGAAGCAGCAGCAGCAACAGCAATAACTGTAGATACCCAACAGCAACAGCAGCAGCAGCAGCAGCAACAGCAGCAGCAGCAGCAGCAGCAGCAAACACCTGGAGACTGCAGCACACCGCCGGCAGTGCATGCATAGCAGGTGTATATACACTCCGTTGCTTCTCTTTCTGTTTTTGTTTTTCTTTATTTGTTGCTATTCTCTTCTTTATTTGTTGATAGAACACACACACCACCAAACCCTAAACCCTAAACCCTAAACCCTAAACCCTTATTTAGAGGGTAAACGCAGCTAAGGCCAATCCGTAATGCAGCGTTTAGGGTTTAGGGTTTAGGGTTTAGGGTTTA